TGGTATATCAATCCTCTTCTCCAGCACCACAACAGGAAGGTATTGAGTTTTCTGCCATCCTTAGTTACTGTCCAACTCTCTGATGCATAGCAAACAATTGAGAAGATCATATCCTGAATCAGGGGCACCTCAGCTGCTAGACAGACATCATTGCTGTGCAGTTCTCTGGAGAAGTCCTTGACAGCATATTTTCCCAAAGCAACTAGTCTTTTGATTTCCTGACTGCTTGGTGCCTAGGGTTGATTGTGAATACTAGTAAGATGAAATCATTAACCACCTCAATCTTTTCTCCATCTATAATGAGATTGAGGTTGTTCGCAACTACAGCTTGCTTGGATCCAGAATCCACACTCTTAACACCAGTAGTCAGGAAATCAAAAGACAAACTGTATTAGGAAAATCTGCTGTCATGGACTTCTCCAGAGTGCTGAAGGGCGATGATGTCACTCTGGATACAAAGGTGTGCCTAATCCAAGCCATGGTCTTCTCAATTATTTGTTATGCTTCAGAGAGTTGGACAATGGCTAAGAATGACAGAAGAATAGATGCCTTCAAGTTGTGATGCTGGAGAAGTCTTAAACATTTCATGACTGCTAAGAAAACAAATCGGTCTGTCTTGGAGAGGGTGAAACCAAGTCTCTCCTTGGAGGCTAGGATTTTGAAGCTCCGCCTCACTTACTTTGGACACATGGCCAGGAGAGACTGGTCCTTGGAGAAGGACATCATGCTCGAAAGGGTGGACGGACAGTGCAGGAGAGGGAGACCCTGGATGAGATGGATTGACATAGTAACTGGGACAATGGGGGTTGGTGTATCAGTTAGTGAGACTAGCTCAGTACAGGAAAGGGTTCAGAGCTGCTGTATATAGGGTAGCTATACATTGTAGGCAACTCAATGGCACATAACAACAACATACTATGACAGGTTTGGAAGGAGGAGTGGCACCCACTTCCTAAATAGCATGGCTCTGGAAACCCTATGAACTTTGACAAATGTCGATAGTTGTAGAGGGGCTTCAGGCCTTTTGTTCATAGGGTTGCTATGAGTTGTGCTCGGCTTGAAGGCAATCAACAGTAACAATCATGATATTGCCTACTGCCCTGGTGGTGAGGATCTTTCGTTTTCTTGATGTTGGGAGGCATTCTATAATGAAGGAGTCCATGACCCTCAGCAAACACTTCAAGTCGTCTTCAGTTTTGGTGACCAAGGTTGAGTCATCTGCATAAAGCAGGTTGTTGAGTCTTACTCCAATCTTGAGGCCACATTCTTCTTCATAAAGTTCAGCCTCTGGAATGATCAGTTCAGAACATAGATTGAAAAGGTATGAAATCTCCTCTGGTGATTTTGGATCATGCAGTGTTTCCCTTGCTTTGTTCAGATTACACTTCCTGGTCTAGGTATAGGTTTCACAAGAGCACAATCAAGTGTCTTCTCAATGTTAACCACAATTTGTTGTGATTTTAATTCAAGTTTATAGAAAATTTGGGTTTTTCATTCAGTCATTGTTGCATTTTCCTCCCTCCTTCCTGCCCCCGGTACTATTTGATAATTTTGATACTCTGTTGGATCACCTTTTTTGGAAATGGGAAGAAACATGAATCTCTTCAGTCAATTGGCCAGTCAACTTTGGTAGATACTGCCAATAATTTGTCCTGCCCCCTGTTAGGAAATGGTAGATGGCTTTGAGGGTAAGTAGTAGTCAGACTTTGGCTCATCTCAATGAACTTCTTCCCATCTGAGATCTTTGCAATTCTAAACCCTGTTTTCTCTCCCCAGCTCCACCTCTGCTAAAAGCTCAGGTAGGTTTGCAGCCTCTTTCAGCTTTGGCTTGGCTTTTAAGTCTGTCACACCTCAGCACTTCCTGACCTTGCAAAGGCTTGAGGCATGCAGTGTAAAGGCTCCATATGGCTTGCATGATCTCATAACCCTCACACAGTGATTTGCTCAGGTCTATGCAAATAAGGTGCCTGTGGCCCACCAACAGGATTGGACAGCTTTCTAGCAATGCAAATAAGGTGTATGGACAGTAGGGGTGAGGGGGCCAGTGGTGGCATGCAAATAGATAGAACTTGAATTTCACTTGGCTTCAAAGAGAGCTGATCGCAGAGACAGGAAGGAGGTATCTTAATACCACCAAGAAGACTCGAGAGTGAAGTGTGTCCTTTGACCTTGCAGAGACTTTTACAGAGAAACTCCTAGGCTCAGAAGACAGCTTTCTGGTCTCTGGAACACGGTGGGTAAAGTGGGTGTGCCAACCTAGAAAGCAAACCTGAGCACCTTTAGGAAAGAAGCTTCCTGGCAATGTGGACACTGCCAGGCTCTTGTTGGCACCTAGACCTGCTAACCAGGTTAGAGAGCTGAATGCCTTTAGACTGAGATTTTTTTAGTGGAAGTCTTCTTGGGAGAGTTACCCTCAGGCACTTGCTGGCAGAGCTAAAAGCTTTGTAATACCTGCCTGAGCAGGGTAGAGGCCCGATCAAAGGTAGAGGGGCTGTGGGCCAGGGAAAGACCTGTCCGCAGGTACAGTGGAGAAGCTGGCCTGCCTGAAGAACCAGATCCTTTCATTTTCAATTCTGAACCGAAACTGGTTACTTCCAAAAAACCCTCCAAACTTGTGAGAATGGTCTGTGAGTTCTTTGTGGCCATTATAATGAATTCAGGAGCCCGGCAGAGAAGTAGACAGGGCTGTGGGAGGGATGGCAGATGTCAGAACTGGGAAAATAGGTAGAGAGAGAGGTGGTGTCTGACCACTTCCTCAGAATCCTCGTTGAACTGATGCGTAAGTTAGAGGTGGGCCACTCCAGGGTGGCCTGTGAAGTTACCTATCATTACTGAAAGCAGAAACCTGCTTGGTAATGTTTAAGACAAGGAACTTAAAAATATAAAACGTTTTTAACAAAAGGAACCATTCTGATCTGTTTTTACTGAGGTATTTAGCAGAGTCAAATGGCTATTCAAATGTTTTACCAGGTTTTTTCCCAGCAAAAAAAAATAAATCTCAATTTTGAACTCATGTTCTCTCGAGCTTATAAATAGTGAGAACTGTCTATAAATAGATTTAATAGATGACTCCCCTCAAAACACTCTAAAGATACTTACCTCTAAGAAATGCCAAGTGCCAGTGACACTTGTTTTTTTTAAAAGTAACTTTAAAAAAATTGCCATGACTGAAAATATGATCATTGTTGAGAGATCAAAGTCTATGTCGGAGAACACTGTCAACAAGCCCGTGCCATTTTCCGATCAGTGAGGTCCTGGGGTGGGTCAGGGGTGGCCTACCACTCTGCCTCTGTATCTTCCAGTGTCTACAGGGAATCATCACGCTTGCCCTTCGACATCTTCAGAGCAGCATTTGTTTCTCCTTGATGTTCCCTCAGTGCTGGGTAAGGAGACCTTTACCATTTCTCTCAGCACATGTCCTATGATTGAAGGACAATGTCGGCTTCTCCTCCCTCCATCCTGCCACAGCGCCTCATCCTAGGACTAAAGGATAAAGGATGCTGTGGGCATCAACAGGAATGGGGTGTCACATGCTGCAGTCCCATGGCAGCTTCGAGGCAGAGGGCTGAATAATGTGAAATAGTCAAAATCACCCTAGAAAACCCCAGAAATGGCCCACAAAGTATTGCTGACCTCCTTTGTTTGCTTAATCCAAAACCACAATCTCTATGTACCACCAATTTTGAAAACAACTCGCAAGAATCAAGGGTGTAGCCAAAGATGTGGGGTATTTACCCTGCTCTGTCCTGGTGATGTAAGTCTGATCCCCGACATGCATGGTGACGGCGCAAGATAGAAGATCTGTGGAGCTCACTTCACTTCCAAACATACAGATTCTGGTTTGTTGGGATCAACTCAACAGCAAAGGATTTTTGTTTTTATTTAGAGACAAATGAGAAGAACCTGTTTATGGCTAATTCCTTTTACTATAATGTCTTTGTGTCACTATTCTGTCCTATGTTGTAACTCTTGTGCTAGACTTTCATCATGAACAAAGTGAAGTAATATAGGGGTCGGGGTTTCGAGTCAGTGATTAACCTGGTTCCTTGGCATCTCCCGACATTAGTCTGGGACAGGCCTCTAGAGGGTCCTGTTTAATTTTGTAACGCTCAGGTTCTCAAACTTCTTTGCCACAGGTCCGTGATTCTCCTTGGTGCTGCATCCTACCGCCAGCCGCCATCAAGTGGATTCTGACTCGCGGAGTTAGAGTAGAAAAAGGTTTTTAGTGACTGATTTGTAAGAGTTAGATCACCAGGCCTTTCTTCCAAGGCACCTTTGGGTGAACTTGAACTGGCAACCTTCCGGTCATCAGACTCGGTTCATGACACTCGTCAATATCTGTAGACTGTGCCATGTTGGGGAAAGCAGTCTTGGGCCATCACCTGGAGCTTTTCTGACTCTTAATTTTATAAACAGTTTTCAACACAAATATAAGTTCAGCTTCTGGGTAGAGGAGTAGAGAACAGATGGGTAAGGCAGGTTACCAGGTAAGGAGAAAAGAGTCTTGCCATGGAAGAGCAAGAGAATCCACACCAAGAGGTGACAGCCCAGGCAAACCTAAGAGGCAGGGAGATCTTTATTATAATTCACACAATGAAAACAGGAAAGTTTTGCTGCGTAAGGAATAAGGTTCAACTGTCGGGAAAATGTGCCCCTTACAGTTCAGTTGAGAAAGTCATTCCTTCATCAGCTGGAACCTGGACTCCGGGCAGGCCTGCTCACATGGTCAGGCTTCCCAGAATCTCGACTTGTGTTGGTCAGAAGATATCACGGAGAATTTGACCCCAAATATTCCTCTTCAGGAATAAGGTCCTTTCTAATTAAAAAAAAAGTCAATATATCTAAACACAAAACTAGCTTCTCTTTCTGGTCATTTCCACTGAGACAAACGCAGTGTTAAGGACATGCTGACTACATCAGTATCCACGTTGCTGGCACCTCTCCTGCGGTCCCAGGTCTGGTTATCACAGGTGCTTCGGTCGGTCCTCTAGTGTACGCAGTCACAGGAACAGAAATAGCCTTCAATCCCTGTTTTCCTTTGACTTGGACTTGAAATAACCATCCTTTCTGCCTTTACTCATTGTACTTGGCCAGCTTCAATCTGGGGATAATGTTCATCGACTGCAGTTCCTGGAAGAGCAGCTTGCAGGCGTACGGAATCCGGAGGGAGGACACGTGACACGAAGACTTGCAGTAATGGCACCTGAGAAAGCAAAAGGCAGAACAGGTCAGCAGGCTCATACTGAGAGAATGTGACGTAGGGAACTCTCTCACCTCATCACATTAGTGCTTGTTTACTCCTGTGGTTCAGTCTCACTCTCATGGATAAAAGAGATAACCCCTGATCCGGCTCAAAATCATTCAGCTTAACACAGTTACCACCCTTCTAAACTTTCTCCTTAAATAGAAAAGCACCTACATAGTAGTGGTGTTGCTGTATAATGTGGAGTTGGAACTGACCCTCCATCGGGTTTTCAGAGGCAGTTAAACCATATGAGAGGAGACTTCCCCTCTTCCTCCTGTGGATCAACTGGTGGATTTGAACTGTGTACCTTTGGTTTGCCAGTGCAACTGCTTACCAAGGCAACCAGAGCTCTATAGGTAGTGTTAGGACTTTAGAAAGTGGCTTTTTACCATTGCCTTAAGGCTGACCACACAGCCAGGCAGAAGTGTGGAAGTAAGATGAATTTCTGAGGCTCCACATTGCCACCTTGAGCTCCCCTGGGAACATGGTCTCTAGCTGCCTCAACTCTGGACACATGGGTTTGCTGTTGATCAGCATATTTCACCTGATCAACAACTGTGGGATTAACATAAGAGGGAGAGCTAGCCTGACTGTGGAGAGATCACAGCAAGGCACAGCCTGATGGAGCACTGGAGACACAGCCAGAGGTAAAAGTTTTGCTGGATGACTGAAGGAAGAGATGTCTTGTGACTGGTGTGACACACAGCTTGCTGGATGACTGAGGAAACCAGAGGTTTATTTGTGTTGCTGGACTGAACCTTGACTTTCACTGTGTGATATCCTTTTCCTCTCCTATCCCCCAACTTACTTCCTTAATAAACCCCACAACTTTGGCAATGAATTATCGGACTTGGTGACCAATGGAAGTAGTTGTGGAATGAGAGGCCATGTCTGACTTTTCAGCTATTATTTGGGACTACAGATGTTATTGGTGGGACAGGTTCCCTTTGCCGAGTTCACAGAAGTCAGACTCGGCCTTCCTCAGATTGTTATTCTTGCTCCTTTCACAGCCTATCTACCCACACTCCTCTTCTGAGAGAGTCCTGGAGTTTATTCATTGTTCAAAGTACTTCCGCTGGTTCAATCACTCTCCATGTATCTGATACTCTAACTCATAATGACCTTCCTGCAGGTTTCTGAGGCTGTCCATCTTTCTCCCTTGGAGCTGGTGGTGGATTCACCTTGCCAGAGAAGCAGGACCTTACAGTCGGCAGTGCGACTCACTCCGGACTCGGCTACCAGAGCTCCCTACAAGAACAGTGTATTGTTCTAAGCAAGAGGCTCAGAAGTTGCAATGTCCGCTGAGATGAGAAACACCAGTGTTTCCTATCAGATGCTATTAATTTTCCAGTGTTAACGAAGGTGTTCTAACCAGGATGCCTTCCATCCCAAATCGGATTCCCTTCTGTTACCTTTTCCTATACTCTTAATGGCTACAACTGAAAAGAGAGCCTGGGGAGAAAGAGAATCCTTCTTTCAAGTTTCAGACCGAACTACACCCTTCAGTCCTCAAGGTCTGGGAGAGCTGGACAATCGGCATCCATGGATCCTGAGATACAAGAGGCAGGGAACCAGGCCCTCCCAACAAACAGGTGAGAAAAAGGGCTCACAACGAACAGCGGACCAAGAGTCTAAAGGTTTGTGGTGAGCAGGAACCACAGGCGAGCCCTAAAGAGAACAAGGATGGACAGACTCCTCAGGAAGATAAAGGCAGTGGGTGTCAAAGATGCACATGGACATACTCTTTAATTTAAAAAAAAATCACAGAAGTGATAAAACATGCTATAAGAAGGTTCATGGATACACATGGGCACACACAAACGAAGCTGGAGGTAAGGAGACAGTTTTAAAAGCATTCAGAGGGAAAGGTAACTTATAAGAAATAACATTTAAACTGTTTGTTGTGGTTGTTGTTAAGAGCCGTCGAGTCCTAGATGAATCATTGTGACCCTATGAGCAAAAGACCTGAACACTTGTGTAACTTTCATCGTTCCTCCACATTCATAGTTTCCAGAGACAAGCTATTTCGGAAGTGGATGCCACTCCTGCTTCCACGCTTGTTTTAATCGGGGAGCTCCACAAAACACTGTCCACCATGGATAATCGTTATTGCATCTGACACACCAGTGTCACAGTGTTTAGCATCACAACCTCCACAAGTTACCTCTGTAGAGCCCATTGACAGACCAGTGCTACTACCACTTAGAAGAATGTTTGACCAAAACCAAAAGTAATATTCAAAAGTTGGAAACCACTCAAATGCCCACTAGGCAACTGGTTTTGTGGGTTCCAGGGTATTTCTAGGCGAGAATATGGTGCAGTCACTAAACGTCCTTAGGTAGAGCTGTGTTCACGGAAATGTGAAGGTGCTCAGGAGACACTGCGGAGGGAAAGGCAGTTTACTAAAGTAACACAATCCTTCAAGGGCCTTCAGGTGAATTTCAGAAAGGGTCTGACGCGCTCCAAACCACATGTAAAATGATGAAAGTGTGTATATGTTTTTATTTCCCTAATATCAAAATCTCAAAGGGGCTTATCATCCAAAAAGAAAGTAAAACTCCACTGACAAAAGGGATGTCTCAAAGAAAAGCTCCTCAAAATTTTCTTTAGGGTAGAAATGAATGTGATGTGTCATTTGATCTCTGTAGACTGGAGATTTTTATAATGGGCAGGAATTGGGATAAACATTTATTCTTTTTTTGGGGGGGTCCGGAAATGGAAAGGCTGAGAATTTAAGAGTAGCGATGAGTGCATACATGATGCAGAAGCTTCTAGGGAGAAATGCCACAGGAGTTGTGGACTGCAGGCCCGAGATCACTTTAGGGGACTGCAGAAGCCTTCGACATCTGTGGTTTGTTTTATTTCATCAACAACAAAATGTAAACTTGGCCAGTTACTCTCTTTTAAAAGATTACCTAAAGCCCTCTTTAAAGTATTTAGGAATGATTTTTTAAAATAGGGTACCTGAATTGATTTCATTTACTCAGTTACCATTTTCAGACTTGAAGCTGGAGAAACTGATTAAATTGGGCCCATTTCTACCTTGTTGATTCTCCTGTCCTGGACATAATCCCTGACCTTAATCCAAACTAATCTAATTAAAATCTCCCTGTGTGCTGATTCATAATCTAGAAAGCCTATTAATCTTCCTATTGCTGACTATTTCTCTATCACTTAAAATGTTTCAATAGGTGTGTACATATAGAGAACTATATTTATCTATAAAAAGATATAAATGCATTAATAGCTAAATACAGAAGCTATCACTATATGCAAAAGTATATTTTAGAATACAAAAAGTCTTTTTATGTACAAAAACGCTTTCATTATTTTATGTTGTGCGCACAATTTCCAAAGAGTCAAACCTGACCCCAACAACAAGGTAACCCGATTTTCCAGGGCCAAGAAGCAAAAGGCGGCGGCTGTGGCTTCACACGAGAAACGACTGTCCAGTGAAATATCTTCCGTGAGCTAATTATCTTAATAGGGACTTGCTTTTCTCTGCCGTTTTCCTGCTGGACCTCTCCTTTGTGACTTTATGCCCTTGGTGTCTTGGGCAGAACAACAGTCTTGCTGTAAACATCCCCATAGCAATGCCTCACTAATGTGCAAACCACTGACAAAAGGCCAGTTTCAAGGTTCTGAGCCGCTCTAATTACCCGGCCTCCATTGTGCTGCTCATTAAAGAGCGACTTCCACCAGCGAACGCCAGTGCTGCCTCCCAGCCGCTGCAGCACACATGGTCAGGTGATGATGGCAAAAATGACAGCATCATTACGCTTCTCCGCCAGTGAGCGGCACGCAAGCGGAGGGCTGGGAGGCCAGTTGCCGTGAGGATTTTTTTTCTGTTGGCAACAAAGGTATAGGCAAGCAGACTACTCAAATTCAGACATAGGGCACATTATGACCTGTTTGGTTAAAGACCCTTACCATGTGCAACCTGGCTTAGTCTCCTTTCAAAGGGTTTAAAAATACAGTACTCATTAAAGCAGAGCTCCAAACTTAGGCACAGCAATCAGCTGGTCTCTAAACAGACAGAAACGAAGCTGGAGAGCGGGGAATGAACTGGACACCGCTGAGATCCGTTCATGCTCAGAGGTCCCACACACGCTATTTCCTTGAGCATCGAGAAGAGGATCCGGTTCTCCAGGGGGCCCACTGCCTCCTTTCTTTTCCCTCCTGGAGCACGAGGTTGTGGTGTGGGAGCATAAGGACTAGGAAGGATGGAGAAAAAGGAAACTCTTTTTGAAGTTTCATGACCCTCAGTTTTAATGACTCTTCTGCACCATCCTCTCAAAGTAATTTAAAAAATCTTGGAGCTCTGGTGGCCTAGTGGCAAGAAGCAGCACTGCAATCCCAGAGGTGCGTGGTTCCAATCCACCAGATGCTCTGCTAGAGAGGGAGGGACAGTCTCCTCTTGTACCAGTCAGATCCGATTTGATGGTACACAAACACAAAATAATAAAATTTAAAACAAAACTCTGTGCCTGTTTGAAGACTTACGCACCGTGTAACTGGTTCAGAGAAGCTTCAATGACACTGTTTTTTGTTTGTTTGCTTGAGTCACACAGCTAAGATCATGAAAAAGCAAAGCCAACGTGGGTTTTAAAATACGAACCACAGGAGCCTCAAAGATAGAGGAAAAGCCAGGCTGGTTCCTAGAATTCTGCCATCATCTCTACTCCTTTATGGGAAAACTGACTCGGAAGTGGCCAGCTTTAAAAATGATCTCCACAGAGAGTTTCACCAATTCTGCTACATCAAAATCATAAACTGGTACAAAGATTCTGTCCTTACCTAGCAGGGCGGACAATGTACTCCAAAGGCCCCAGATCTCTGACTGCTGATTTGCAGTTTTAGTCAATCAAGAAATGGACAGCTTTATGATGGCAAGGAAATGGGGTGACGGGGGTCTACTGGGTCCTAAAACTCTGACAAAGAATGCTCATCTGGGCCTCACTGGTTCTTCTGGGGACACCCCCAAGTCCAAGTTTGCAAAGGGGCTCTGAAGAAGGCACATGAGGGGTGGTGAGCAGGTGAGGGCTGTCTCCTGTCCCTGCAGCATCTGCCTGAGACCTGATCTGGCCCCTCACTGACAGAACAGAAGAGACTGGGGGATCTTGAACTCTCTTGCCCACAGAGGCAGTACAGGCTTCCGGATTATGACTGGCCTTAAATAAAGCTTTGGGTTCGCAGACTGGAATCACTGCACTTAGGAAATGTATGGCCTTTGTGTCACAAACTTTTCAAAGAAGTTAGAAACAGGACGGAGTACATAATTTACTGACTGGTAGTCTTTTAGAAATACGGCTCGGTATAATTTAGCAATTAATTTCATTTTTTTTATCAAGCACCAACCAGGCCCCGAGCTGGACAAGCAGGGGTAAACAAGACAGAATGAAGTGGAAGGTCAGCTCACTGACAAGCCACTCGAACCTACGACAGCATCCAGCAGATCCTCACTAAATGCTTGTGGGATGAACACCCGTGGCTGGCACAGTCTATGGCATGATGGGACTCACGCCTCAAATGTGAGGCTGTAAATGAAGGTGTTTGATAATAATCTTCTGAAAAAGTCTTTCTGTTACAATGTACTGCAATTCTAAGATCCAACAACGAATTTGCTAGGGCTCTTTAAAGAAAAAATTTCCAAGTACTAGAGATAATATTAAAAATATTGTAAGAGGTACTTGAGATAGTATTAAAAAGTTCATACTTCTTGGAAGTGTAAACTCTGGTAATGTGGACAGCAGATCATTTCAGAGATACAGCATTCAGTTTAGACTTATCTTTGCCTGTCTGTGTAGAATCCCTAATTACAGGAATGCATAGACAGAGCAGTGTAAATCAGCCATCACGACCAGAGGCTGAAGAATGTGTGGTTAAGCTTTGAGCCGATGCTGGAGCTGTGATTTAAGAGGTAAGGGGATGAGAGCCATATGGAATCCACTTACCAGCCGGAGTAGCCCAGAAGTCCGCACTGCCCGCAGACGTCGACCTCAAAGGCATCACTTGAGATCATTAGCCTTTCTAGCAAAAGCATGCTGGCTCCGTAGCCGATTAAGCAGTCACGTTCCATTTCTCCAAGACGCAAACCACCATCCCGGGATCGGCCCTCAGTGGGCTGCCTTTGAAGCAAATGATCAGACAAATTATGTTATCATATTAAAAAAAAGAGTTGATATCACTCGCTGGCTAACAGGCTTGGGGGCAGAACTCACGCCTGGATTCAGGCCCCGAGTTAGTGACCCTGAGCATGCTTCAACTTCATTAGGAAAATGCACAGTGATGACAAAAGGTATTTCCACTAGTGGTCAGTGCCCTGCTACTTAAAAGCAGAACAACTATGGAGAACAGACTGGGAGAAACCCGGGTCCTCAATAGTTACCACCAGTGGTTCAGGCAGGAGTTTTATCATGAAAACATGCATTCAATGCATACATGTGTACCAGGGAAAAAAACCAGGATGGTTTTTTAACGTAAAATTTGGAATCAGAGACTGCCTCAGAGAGATGGGAGTTCTGTGTGTCCCATTTGGGCCCCTCCTCCTCAACCCACTGCTGTCAGAACTGACTGACATATAGCTGGCCCACAAAGAGGTTTTTGGAGGCTAACCACTCTGGAGGAGACTGCCCACCTTTCTCCCACAGAGTAGCTGGCTGGTGGATTCAAACTGCCAGGGAAGGACCATCTTATTTATTTTTTTTTTTAAGGACCATCTTTAAGATGGCAACACAACTCCCTGGGAACTATGCCACCAGAGTGTCTCCTTATATTGTTGTTGTTGTTATTAGGTGCCATCAAGTATGACTCATACTGATACAAACTATCTATGAGCAACAGATCTGAACCCTGTCCTATTCTGTGCCATCCTCACACTTCCTGACACATTAGTGCCTTAGTGCCCAATGCAGCAGTCACTGTGTTAATCCATCTGATTGAAGGTCTTCCTCTCTTTTGCCAACTCTCCACCTTTCCAAGCACGATGTCCCTCTCTAAGGAATAGCCTCTCCTAGTAACATGCTCAAAATATGTGAGACGAAATTTTAATATCTTTGCCTCTATGAAGCACTTTGGCTACTCCTTCTCCACGACAATATCTGGAAGTCCAAGGAATATTCAGTACTCTTCTCCAACACCACAGCTCAAAGGCATCATCAATTCTTCTTCTGTCATCCTTATTCATCGTCCAGCTCTCAGATGCACAGCAAGTGACTAGAAAGACCATGGCCTGAATCTGACCCACATTTTCCCTTAATGAGGAACTCTGGTGGCCTAGTGGCAAGAAGCTGTACTGCAATCCCCAAAGGCATGTGTTTCAAATCTACCAGCTCCATGGGAGAAAGATGGGCAATTCTCCTCGAGTGCAATTTACTGCTTCTGAAAACCCACTGGAGGGTCAGCTATGCATCAGTTGCGATCTGATCCATACAACAGCAGCAGTCTCTCTTAAAGCGATGCTGCTAGAATTGGAGGATGCTAGCCCCTGGGATGGACTTCCTGTGGCTTATTTAGCTGCTAAGCTTGAGGATATTCAAAGGTCAGGAATCCAGGGTGTGGGGCTTCTAGATTATCCCTGGCAGTCCCACCTGGGTACTGAAGGCACACCTTACTTGTAAAAAAGCAAGCTCCCTGGCTAGGTTATTTTGGAATGACACTCCTCTGTGGCATTCTTGAGCAGAGATGAGCCATAAACCTTTGTTTTCTTCTATGCTGTTGTTATGTGACATCAAGCTGCCTGCGACTTATAGCAACCCAATGAACAAGAACACAGAACTATTTTATTCTATAATGTCTTTGATGTGTGTTTATTGTTGCTAGTCTCCCAAAGAGTAAAGAAGGTGAACTCAGTCAATGCAACTTAAATTTTTATCTATTTGTTTTGTAGTTGCTGATACTTACAAAGGGAAATCCGTTTGAGTTGTAGATTGATGCAAGAAGAGGCATTATGAAAAACTTGCACCTAGGTTTAAATGAGCATGTTGTTGTTGATATTAAGTGCCGTCAAGTCGCCTGAGACTCACAGTGACCCTATGTACAGCAGTCCTGAAGCCTGCCCTGTCCTGAGCCAGTCTCTCCAAAATAGACCCAGTTACTATATCAATCCATCTCATGCGAGTCTTCCTCTCCTGTGCTGTCCTGTCCCTCCACCCTTCTGAGGATGATGTCCTTCTCCAAGAACTGGTCCCTCTTGGTCACATGCCCAAAATACGTGAGACAGAGCTTCCAAATCATAGCCTTTGAGGAGAAACTTGGTTTCGCCCTTTCCAAGATAGACCTATTTATTTTCTTGGCAGTCCATGATATGCTCAAGACTTTTCTCCAGCACCCCAATTCGAAAATAATGATTCTCCTTCTGTCATCCTTAGTCATTGTTCAAATGAATGTAACACAGTGAAAAATCATATCCAAGCACAGCAATGAACTCTCTGGCCTGCTGGGCGAGCAACTCAAGGGCCAGTACACCCATAACCTGTGGTCACTGAACAAGCTGAAGCTGTGAGACCACATGTAAGCAAATCCAACACTTGGATATCAACCAACTGAGATAACTGACTGCAGACAAGTGCACGCTAGACAGTCTTCATATGGAATACACAAAAGTAATGCCAAAGTAATAACTTCTGTTACACAACAAAGCCAAAAACAGGAAATGGCTGCTCTGACATTTATATAACGCTGAAATAGTTTTTGGATGTTGTAAGTGAAAGGGAAGTTTAGGAGAGGGCATCACTCGTGGGAGAAACATCTAAGTCAAGTAATGTCTCAGTGCTGGGTGATTACTATCTTGAGAAGCTCAGCTTTTCTCTCCTCTTCTGCAGTTTTCGGGACACATGTGTCTATCATTTCAATGGACATGTGTATCTGTTCAGTCTTAAACGATCAAGGGATTGAGTCATCTACACCTCTCCAGTTAAAAGCCCCCAAACACTAGCTGTTTCATCTTTCCTCCCCCAGAATTGAGAGATGCAAACAGTGCACAATAAGAAAAGGAGTGAGTATCTCCTGTGGACAGACTGATGCTGTGTCTTCAAGCATCTGACAGCCCCCAGCACCCTGGGAAGTGGGTGAGATGCTATCATTTCTACTTTCTATGTATGAAAACAACTGAAGCTGAGAGAAGTAATCTGTAAATCTAAAAGGCTGAGAAAGTATTCAAATCTGTGTCTACCTGGCTCTAAGGCCTATACGTCACTCCCCTAGCTCAGGGTTCCCCAGCATCAAGACTACCAACGTTTTGGGCTGGTTCATTCTTCATTGTGAGGGCTGACTCATACACTGCAGGTCAGTAACACAGTGAGGTCTCTATCCACTAGATGCCAAGAGCATCACCCTTCTGAGTCCTTACAACCAAACATGTTTTCAGTTGTTAAATGTGCCCTTGAGTGGAGAAAAAAAAATTACTCATGTTGAAATACTCTGCCCTAGACGAGGTTCTCTCTAACTATACAAGACAGAGTAGGAAGAACATGTGCTTGACCCTTGGAAGATTGTAAATCCCTTCCCAGCATTGATACACAACACTGTGCTCGTAACCAAGCATGCACTGGTGAATGGGACAGCCATGGACTCTAACTTCCTAAAATATAATCAAATTAGATGTCTTTTGCTTCAATAACAAAAGTTAAAAAGAAATTACAATTACATTATCCAGTAATGTAGGTACATATTTTCTGTGTAAACCTATGACATGATGACATGAGTACATGCAAATACTATCTCTCGCTCTCTCTCTCTCACTCTATCAGTACAGTACTTGTCTGTCAGTTTACTGTACTATGGTAGTTTGTTGCCCTCTGTGATGACAGAAGATGTCCCATTGGTATTTTTATACTAGTTATAGGAGGGATATCACTGCTAATGTCAGATCTATCTTGGCTGAAAGCAGGGAGTACCAGAAAAATGTCTACTTTTGCTGTACTGGCCATGCAAAGCATTTGACTGTGTGGATCATAATAAACTGTGGCTAACACCGAGAAGCATGGGAATCCCTGAGGACTTAATTGTGCTCATGCAAAACCTATACCTAGACCAGTAAGCTGTTATCAAAACAAACCAAGGGAACATGGCATGGTTTAAAAATCAAGAAAGGTGTGTATCAGACCTGTATCCTTTACTCATACCCGTTTAATCTCTACACTGAACAAATTATTTGAGAAGCTGGACTTTATGAAGAAGGATGTGGCATCAGGATCAAAGAAGACTTATAAACAGCATGCATTATGCAGACGACACAACCTTGCTTTCTAAAAGTGAGGAGGACTTGAAATGCTTGCTGCAAAAGATTAAGTACAGAATATAACTCAACATCAAGAGAACAAAAATCCTCACCATTTAGCCAGTAGGCAATATCATGACAGATGATGAAAAGATAGAAATTGTCAATGATTTAATTATACTCAGATCCTCTATGAGCAACCTTGGCACCAGAAGTCAGGAAATCAAAACGTGTGGTCTGCAGAGTGCCACTGCTGTAGAATGGGACTGACATCAGGATTAGGGTAAGAATGAGAAAAACTGGATGAATTAGGTTTACTGCATTGAAACCGATGAGGGAGAGAACAGTTTAAAAGCAATATATTTTAGGGCATTATGAGTAACATAAGAATCCAGAATGAAGGTTGCAGAGTGGAGTATACTTGGGGTGGGGGTAAGGGAGGATTGTATACCAATGAAGGAATTTTTCTTTTACTTTTCAAAGAGAAGAGCGAACTGGGGGTGGGGGTGGAGTGGGTGGGGAGAAAAGTGCAACAATGAATGAATGGAAATTCAAAATCTCTGTAAATGTTCATTGAAATTAATAAAAAAAAAAGAGAGAGAGGAGAAAACAAAACAAAACATGTGTGGTACTAGGAAAGTGCAGAGACCTCTCCAAAGTGCTGAAGAGTGCGGGTGTCAGTTTAAAGACTGAAGTGCACCTAATTTAAGCCAGGGTCTTTTTAATTACATGCTATGCATCTGAGAGTTGCACAGTAAATAAAGAAGACAGAAGAATTGATGTCTTTGAGTTGTGGTGCTGGAGAACAGCATGAAATAACCCCATGGACTTGCCAAAGACTAAATAATTATATCGTGGAGAAGGTGCAGCCAGAATGCTTCTTAGAGGGAAGGATGATGAAACTTCATCTCCCATACTTTGGGCATGCTGTTAGGAGGAGTCAGTCTTTGGAGAAAGACATCATGTTCAGAACAGTGGAGGAAGGGAAGACTCTCAACGAGATGGACTGACGTAGTGACTCTAACAATGGGCTCTAGTGTGACAAATGGCCCAAGTTCCTGACCTGGGAGCAGGTTTCAGATCTGATGTTCATAGAGTTGTGATGAGTCTTACCCTGTGCACAACAGAGTGAAGCCCTGTCTGATTCTGTGTCATTCCCACAATCTCTGTTCTACTGAAAGCCAATGTGTCAATCCAGCTCATTTTTCCTCACTGACCACTGACTTTCCAAAGCTTGATTATATGTTTCAAGGGTCTTGTCCCTTCTGATGCATGCCGAAAGCGTAGGAGATGATGTCTCAACAGCCTTGTTCCTAATGAGCATTCTGGCTGCACTTCGAAGACAGATATGTTTCTTCTTATAGAAGTTAACTGTATTACTCAATATGTTTTCCCAAAACAACTCAAAGACAATCAGTTTTTCTTTGATCTTTCTTATTCAATGTACAAGTTTCACATGCTTGAGAGGTGACTGAAAATACCACCGGTTGGGTCAAGTACAGTGTACTCTTCAAAGTTATATCTGTGCTCTCTGGAACATGAAAAAGCTCTTTTACAGGAGATTTATCCAATGCAAAACAGTGCTTGATTTCTCGACTGCTTCTTACAGGAATGTCGTGGATCCAAAGAAAATGAAATCTTTGCTCTTTCTCTATGTGTCAAGATATTGCTTACTGGTCCAGATGCAAAGTGTTTTGTTTTCTTGATGCTGGGCGCTAATCCATATTGAAAGCTGTAATATTTGATCTTTTTCCATAAATGCTTCAGTTATCTTTCAGTGTCTGCAAGCAAGATTGTGTCATTCGCATATCACAGGTTGTTGATGAATCTTTCTCCAATCTTGATGCTGCATTACTCTTCATCTACTCAAGCTACTAGAATTACTTGCTCGGCATACACAGTGAATAGCTATGGTGAGAGGATACAACCTTGATGCACACTTTTCCTGATTTTAAACCACGTAGTAGCCCCTTGTTCTGTTAAAACGACAGCTTCTTGGTCTATGTGCAGATTCCACATAAACAGAATGAATATTTTGTAACTGGGGAGGACCTGAAGTGTTTGCTGTAGTCAAGGACTGTAGTCTTCAATATGGATTGAAGCTCAACATCAGGAAGTTAAAGATTTTCACCAGTGGGCTAACTGGCAGCACCATGATGGATGGAGAAGAGACGGAGATTATTAACAATTTCAGTTTGCTTGGCTCCACAATCAACAGTCTTTGCACCAGCAGTCAGGAAATCAAAAGACACACTGCATTGTTGAAGTCTGCTATCAGGAACCTCTCCAAAGTGCTAAAGAGCAATGACGTCAGTCTAGAGACTAAGATGTGCCTGATCAGGCCATAGGCTTCACAATTACTTGCTATGCATCAGAGAGCTGGATAATAACTAAGGATGACAGAAGAAAAAAAGATGCCTTTGAGTGTGGTGCTGGAGAAGAGTCTTGAACATATTATAGACTACCAGGAGAACAAATAGGTCTGTTTTGAAAAGAGTGAAATCAAGTTTGTTCTTGGAGGCAAGGATATTGAAGCTCTGTCTCACATACTTTGGGCACATGATCAGGAGGGACCAGTGCTTACAGAAGGACATCATGCTTTGAAGAGTGGAGGGACAACGCAGGAGAAAAAAACACCTCTGGATGAGATGGATTCATACAGTAACTGGAGCAATGGAGGTAGGTGTACTGGAGTCAGTGAGACTGACTCAGAATAGGACAGAGTTCAGAGCTGCTGGACATAGGGTTGCTATGAGTCACGGACATGTAACAACAACAAACATTAATAATTTGTTAGGTTCCACAGCAGAATGCCTTTCTTTGAACAGTCAACAAAAAATCTTCCTGGTATTCTCTGCTTTCAGTCAAGGTCCATTTGATGTTAGCACTGACATCCCATGTTCCATGTGTTCTTTTGAATACAGCAGGAATTTCTGGCAGTTCCCTGTTGATGTACTGATGGAACTGGTGTTTTAATTATCTTCAGCAAAATTTTACCTGCATTTGGTATTAATGATATTGGTTGAAATTATTTGTATTCTGTTGGATTACCTTTATGTGGAATGGGCACACACAGAGATCTTTTCCAGTTAGGTGACCTGGTAGGAGTCTTCTATATGTCCTGGCAAAGATGAGTGAGCCCACCCAGAACTATTTTCTAAACACTCCAAATGGCATTCTGTCAATTTCTGGACCCTTATTTTTAATAAGTGACTTCAATGCAACCTCCTTCATTATACCTGATATATCTACTACCTATAGAAATACTTAAGCATTGACCAATTCTTTTTATATAGTTTCTGTATGTATTTCATCCATCTTCTTTTTAATGCTTTGGCATCATTTAATACTTTGCCTATACGATGCTTCTGAATGGAAACTTGGAGTCTGAATTTGTCTCTTCTTTCAGCCTGAGAAATATCAACAGTATTTTTTAATTTGATTTTCCAACTCCAGGCATTTGCTTGTGTTCACTGGGCTGTAACACCATGCTTTGTCATCCTGAGCTGCCCTTCGAAATCTGTTTGGCTCTTTCCCACCGCCATTTCTTCCATTCTATTTAGCTACATGTCTTGAATTATCTTCAGAAAGATTTTTCAGCAAGGTCATGCAGCATGACCAAACTTTAGAGTCTCTTCTGACATTCATTTTGGTTTTTTCTTTTTTTTAACAACATTTTGCTTTCTTCTTGTATGTCCTTGGTGCCGTCCACAACTCACCTGGTCTCGAGTTAACACTCAAGGTATCAAATAAATTCTGATATTGACCTCTAAATTTACTTTATATACACTCAATTTCATACTCTTGCACTTGTTAATTTTTATTTTCTTCACTTCCAACTTGAATTTGCATATGCACAATTGATAATCGGTTCCACAGTCAGCACCTGGCCTAATTTTTGATTGGTGATTGATCATTCCACAGATGTACTTGATTTGATTCCTGTATATTCCAAACAGTGAGATTCATGTGCAAATTCTACGTTTATATGCTTTAAACAAACAAACACACACAACAACAACAACTTTTTTTTTCTTGTGTGTACCACTGAATTGGAGCCAACTGGCACAGGAGGAGATTGCCCCTCCTCTAGCAGAGCATCTGGTGGATTCGCACTATGAGCCTTTGGGATTGCCAGGCAGATTCTTTGCCACTAGGTCACCAGAGCTCCCTGTTTATATGCTTTTAAAGAAGGGTATTTTTCAATGGATAAGTTGTTGGTCATGCAAAATTCTATTATGCCATATTTGGCCTCGTTTCTACCACCAAGGTCTTTATTTCCAACCACTAACTCTTCTTTGTTTACAACTTCAGTTGTAATTCTAATTACTGGTTATTATGTATGTATCTTGATTGAATTTTTTTTTTGATTGAATTTTTAATTCAAATTGCAGAAGTTGGTGAAAATCCTCGATTTCTTCATCTCTGCTATAGTGACAGGAGCATAGATTTGAATAACAGGCATATTAACGGGCTTTCCTTGTATGTGTATAAATATTATCCCATTACTAAGAACACTGTCCTTCATGATACATCTTGAAATATTCTTTTTGAGGATGAATGTGACATCTCTCCTCTTGCTCATTCCCAACACAGGAGACTCTATGATTGTTTAATTTGAAAACCCATTACTGGTCCGTTTTGACTCTCTAATGCTAGGCTATCGATCTTTATGCATTCCATTTCATTTTTTACAACTTCAAATTTTCCTGTATTCATATTTCAAATATTCAACATTCCACTTAGTAACGGATGCTTGCAGCTGTTTCTCCTCATTCTTATTTGGGCTGCATTCGCAGACAGGTAAACACAGGCTTACAAATGATCCTGTCTGAACAGGACCATAGTTGCAAACCAGTACATACTAAACAGTCATGTTAGAAGACCACTGACTGACAAGATCCAGGGTATTTGCATCTGTGCCTATGAAATGATATTTTAATTAGTTGTTCTTTTTTTCATATTGATTCTACAGCTGACCCTTGAACAAGGCCAGCAGGGGTGCATACCTCCTGCATAGGAGAAAATCCACACATATGAGAAAAATACAAGGTGAGCTGTCTGCACTACAAGCTCGTTTTTTCTAAATTCTCTTACCTGGTTAAGACGGCTCGTGGGCCCCGAGCCCGGGCATGCATCTTGTCCAGAACCATGTGCTTCAGCTTCTGATAGTACACGGGGCCAAAGTAGATGTACGCTTCTAAGGGCTCCCTGGAAGAAAATGACAGAGCTCTCAGTTATGAAACTGTGTGGGCTGAGAAGAGTAATCCTTTTCTAGGACTCATCCTCTTACAATTTTTTTAATTTTTATTAAACTTTATTAATTTTAATGAACATTTACAGAGATTTTGGATTTCCATTCATTCATTGTTGCACTATTTTCTTTACCCCCCACCCCCAGTTCGTTCCTCTTTCTTTTCCCCCTTGAAAGTCTGTTTTAATTACAATTTCTTGTTTATGCACACGTTTGTGACTGACTGGGAGACAATGATTTCTAGTCTGTAATGAATGAAAAGGCTCTATCTGAGAATCCCAGCATCAGAACCCACTGCTATAGGGTGGTTCCTGACTCCTGGTGTCCCCATGTGCTTCAGAGAAGAACTATGCTTCATAGGGTTTTCATGGCTGAATCGCTATGGAAGGAGCCCTGAGGTGCTTGGCTGCTTCTGGAAAGTCTGGCAGTTCAAAGCCGCCATCCCCTCTATGATAGATAGATGTGGTAATCTGCTTTCATTGTGACTGTGGCCTAGTTTGTCCTCTAGTGTGGCGATGAGTCAGAACTGATGCCACACAAAGGCTTTAATCTTTAAGGAGGTAGCTAGCCATACCTTTCTTTTTCTTTTTGTCTGATACACCCAAACACACAGCCTTTGAGTTGATTTTGACTCATGGTAAACCTCCACTGGTTTCTGAAGGTAGAAATATTTATGGGAGGATACTGTCCAGCCTTCCCCCATAGGGTGGCTGATATCTTTGAAGTGCCGACCTTTCTGTTGGCAGTCCAATGCCCAAAACATTAAGCCACTGGGATTCCTTTTAAAAAGGGAGCTATAGTTTAATTAAAGCAAAACCAAACAAACATTAAGTGTTATGAAGCACTAGTACAGGCCAGTCCTCCTTCACTGCCATCACCCTCGCCAAGCCACCACCTTAGCTCTGCGTGAATGACGGTAAACCACCTTCTAACTAACTGGTCTCCCTGCTTCCACACTTCTCCCTCAACCACCTATTTCTCACATCACAAGCCAGGGTGAGTGACTTCTTTCAAAATGTGAACCACAGCGGGTCATTTTCTTATTCTGTAATTCCTAATGGCTGCCCACCTCTCCCATATCATCACGATGCTGTCTCATGAGGCCCAACATAATCTGGTTCCTGGCTCAGCTGACTGATCTCCTGGCCCCTCCTTCCATGCTCATCCTATGACCTTCAATGCTCCTCAGAGGCAGCAAGTCCAGAACCTGCCTCGGGCCTCTGCATTTCCACCCCCTTCTCCAGCAGAAGGACCCCTGGTCTTCTTTGCCCTCGGCGCCTTTGCACCTTCGACGCTTGCTGGCACACACTAGGGCTCAGCATGTTTGCTATGTAAAAACATCCTCAGCGTTATTTAAAGGAAGCTGTCGTAGTTATCAAGCCCTTGTGGCTGCTGTCAGGATAGCCAGACTGGAAGACGCAGAGCGGAGAGGAAGGCACAGGACAAGGCAGGAGGCTGGGTTCTTGTTCCAGCCCCGTCACACAGTCACTGCACGAGCCCCCTACCCTCCCTTTTCTTAGTTGTACAGTGAAGTGGCCAAGGTTCTCTCCAGCTTCAGGAGGAATGACTTCATCCCTCAGTAATACGGTTGCTCATAGTGGAATCAATGCCTTTTATGGTGCTGGACAAGAGCACTGAACATACCACGGACAGCCAAGAGAGCAGGTCTGTCCTGGAGACGGTGAAACTAGGCTGTTCACTGGAGGCAAGGATGTTGAAGCTCTGTCTCACACGCTTTGGGCATGCTGCTAGGAGGGACCAGTCCTTGGAGAGGGACATCATGCTTGGAAGTGGGGAGGGTCAGTGCAAAAGAGAAAGACCCTGGATAAGATGGACTGACATAGTGACTGTGGCAAAGGGGGCAGGTATGTCAGAGATGGTGAGACTGGCTCAGGACAGGGCAGGGTTTTGAGCTATTGTTCATAGTTGACTTGATGGTACATGACCACATAGTAGAATCGAGGAAACGTCAGTGTCATTCCAACAACAGAATAAAGCCATGTAATAGTTTCTTCCTAGCTATAGTCAAGAAAACCTTAAGAGATGAAAGCCAAGAGCTGAATGTGTCTCCCAGCCCTCTGTAATCTCAACAGACGAAAAAGTGCTTCACAAAGTTTCCACTGAGGAACATGACAAAGCAGTGGGAACTGTGGCTGTGAAGGGTGGTGGGAGGGAGTGCGGGGACCAGGACAGCCTATATCGCAAACAGGATACCTTTTTTCCAACTCTCACATGTTAGCTTTAAAATTCAGGTGATTTTATATCACTACATAATATTTGAGCAAGAGCCTATGGTGATGAAAGAAGAAGTTCAAGCTGCTTTGAAGAAAATAGCAAAAAATAAGATCCCAGGAATAGATGGTATACCAATTGAAGTATTTCAGCTAACAGATGCTGCCCTGGATGTGCTAACCAAGCTGTGCCAAGAAATCTGGAGAACAACCACGTGGCCAAATGACTGGAAGAGATCTATATTTGTTCCCATTCCAAAGAAGGGTGACCCAACTGAGTGTGGAAACTACAGAACAGTAACATTGATTTCACATGCAAGCAAGATTCTGCTGAAGATTATCCAAAAACGACTGGAACAGCACATCAGCAGAGAACTGCCAGAAGTCCAGGCTGGGTTTAGAAGGGGTCGTGGTACTAGGGATATTATAGCTAATGTTAGATGGATCTTAGCTGAAAGCAGGGAATACCAGAACAATGTCTATCTGTGTTTCATTGATTATGCAAAGGCGTTTGACTGTGTGGATCATAACAAACTGTGGCTGACTCTGAGAAGAATGGGAATCCCAGAACATTTAATCGTGCTAATGCGAAACCTATACTTGGACCAAGAGGCAGTCGTCAGAACAGAGCAGGGTAATACCGCATGGTTCAAAATTGGGAAGGGTGTATGCCAGGGATGTGTCCTATCTCCATACCTTTTCAACCTGTACGGAGAACAGATTATCCGAGAGGCTAGGCTCTAAGAGGAGAAGTGTGGTGTCAGGATTGGTGGAAGATCTATTAACAGTCTGCGTTATGCAGATGACACAACCCTGCTTGCCAAAACTGAGGACCTCATGCATTTGCTGCAGAGCGTCAAGGACTGCAGCGTTCAGTATGGACTGAGGCTCAATGTCAAGAAGACAAAGATTCTCACCACTGGACCAACTGGTAGCATCAGGATGGATGGCGAAGAGATTGAGATTGTTCACAGCTTCAGTTTGTTCGGCTCCACGGTCAACACTCTTGGCACCAGCAGCCAGGAAATAAAAAAATGTATTGTGATGGGAAAGTCTGCTGTTAGGGACCTCTCTAAAGTACTCAAGAGCAACAGTGTCTCTCTGGAGACTAAGGTGTGCCTCATACAGGCCATGGTCTTTGCAATCACTTGTTATGCATCAGAGAGTTGGACAATGACTAGGGAGGACAGAAGAATTGATGCCTTTGAGCTGTGGTGCTGGAGTATTGAACGTACCATGGACTGCCAAGAAAACAAACAGATTCATCCTGGAGAGGGTTAAACCAAGCTGCTCCTTGGAGGCAAGGATTCTGGGGCTTCGTCTGACATACTTTGGTCATGTTGCAAGGAGGGACAGGTCCTTGGAGAGGGACATCATGCTTGGGAGGGTGGAGGGACGGTGCAAGAGGGGAAGACCCTCTATGAGGTGGATTGATTCAGTGACTGGGGTAATCGGGATGGGTGTGTCAGAGACAGTGCGATTGGCCCAGGACAGAGCAGGGTTTAGGGCTGTTGTACATGGGGTCACTATGAGTCGCAAATGACTCGATGGCACATAACAACAACAACACATATCAGGGAGCTCTGGAGGCCTAGTGGTAAGAAGCTGTACTGCAATCCCAAAGGTACGTAGTTTGAATTCACCAGCTGCTTTGTAAGAAGAGGACGGGCAGTCACCCTGTGTGCTTTACTGCCTCCGAAATCCTGCTGGTAGGTCAGCTCTGGGTCGGTTCTGAATCTGAGGCACACAACAGCAACCACAACAGCAACAGCAACCAAAACAACAACATGTATCAATGTTTAGCCTTTCCCCGTATGCAAGTGTTTCGGCAAAGCTGTGTAATCAGGACGAGGTGCAGAGTCAATTCTGAGGTTCTGCACCCTTCACGGTCAATGTCTGCTTCACCTCTGGATGGAGGAATGAGGACTAAGCTGCCCAGTTTCACCCTTGAAATCGCACTTTCTTTGAAATAGAATTTTCTGTACGTTTTCTTTCTTTTTTTTTTAATGGACCCTTGCTCTCTCACTGTAACACGCTTTTGGTCAAATATCTCAAGGATGATACCCCTCAACAAGCCCGCTATGACAGCCTGGGTAATTTTCAAAGCGTTTGTTATTTTTCGCCTTAATCACATCTGGATTCTCTAGCTGCAGTCCTCCCCGTCAACCTGTGTCTTCACATATGCTTCCACTCTGCACTTCACGTCCAAGGGGTTTAAAGCTTCACCAAAAACCATCCCCCAAAGGCATGAGGCTTCAGTTATATCTGGCACAGCATACGTACTCCACTGCCTTCAAACTGATTCCATCTCTGAGCGCCCTCCTGTCACAGAGCTGACCTGCTCCGCGGGGGATTCTGGGTCGTGACCTGTACAGTGGCAGACGGTCAGGCCCTTGTTCAGTATACTGTCCTGACCTTGTAACCTGGGTTAGCAGTCAGCACAGACCGCGTGTAGCATCTAGGAATCTTACAAGTGTAAGATACACAAGAAACACGTGTGCTTTAATTCAACCAACTGACTTGCTCCTTTAAAGCCATGTATAAGTCAAGGTTCCGATTCCATTCTTCACAATATTTCTGGAGACACGTTCCTCATGGACTAATGGGAAGAAGCACATCTGGCCTGTTTGAGCTGGCCCTCGCTCCTTCCCAGTCTTACTCTAGGCCTCACTCCACTCTCACATTCTTCACCTCCTAACAAGACTGGCCTCCTCCAGTTCCTTGTACTTACTACCCTCCTTTCCTCGGAAGCCATTTAGAAAAGCTTTTCCTCTGCACAGAACAAGCTTAGAACAATATCAGAACGGCCTCTCCTCCCAGCCTGCCAACCTTCCTGCCTCGAGCTAGCCACCCATCTTTTGCAGCGCTCTTCAAACCGACCCTGTCTTCATTTCATTTCATTTCATTTGTACTTGTTTCCATTTTTATTCCTTGAACAAATACTCACAAAGCACCTGCTGTATACCACGCCCTGTGCTGGGGCACTGGGAACAGGACAGTGACCCCAACAGGCAAGTCCTGCTCTTCCAGGACGACATTCATGTCAAGGAGAAGGAAAGGAACAGTAGATCGTTTTGTTACCTGTATGTTGGAAAGCGGTGCGAGCTACATGGAAGAAGAAAACGGGGAGGAGAAACAGGCAGCACCGAAAGGTACTCCAGGCAGTCGGGGCAGGCCCCCGGCAAGGTCACCACACCTGTTCTCAGTCAGTGTGAGCACCAAGCAGGTGCCTAAGAAATCTGTGGTGAACTAAGTGCCACCTGCTAGGTCTCAGCTGTCAAAGCACTGAGTGTCTTATCTTATATCCACCACATACATGCAGAGAGAAGTCCAACAGGAAAAGAAAACAGTTCCTGTCATACACATGTGATGTTGTTGTTACTGATGACTGCTGTTTGAGTCAAACACAACTCATAGCGACCCTATGAACAAAATACCTGAAGCCTTCCTGTTCCTTAAAAGCTAAGAGACTGAGAAAGACTGGATGAATTATGTATACTGTGTTGAAAGAGATGAGGGAGAGAATTGTTTAAAAGCGATTTATGATTGGGTATTATGGTCATGATAAGAATCCAGAATGAAGGCTGCACAGTGGAGTGGACTCTCATGTGTATATGTTTGTGTGGGTGTGTGTGGGTGTGGGTGTGATTGTATACCAATAAAAGAAGAGCAAACTGGGGGGGGGAGGGGTGGACAGGGAGAAAAGTGCAACAATGAATGAATGGAAATCCAAAGTCTCTGTAAACATCCATTAAAATTAATAATAAAAAAAATTAAAACTAAAAAAACAAAAGCTAAGCCGACTCATTCTGGCAGATTAAAGCTTTTCCCACTTTTCAGCCTACAGTCAGGACAAAGGGCACTCTCCAATGACGAGCTTTCCAAATCGAGGCTTTCTCAAATGAGATTTCTTACAGAAAAGGAGTGGATAGTGATGGTTCATCGCTCTCGTAAAGCCTTACTTTCTTTAAATGTCTAAATCACACACTTACCCTGTGATGCCCGAGGTGACGTAGTCTTTCCCCAAGTAGTTATACCCATGGCGAACGAGGTCCTCGCACACGTCCTTCACTTTACTCCCTCCAAATGCGGTGCCATAGTGGAACCTGCCATCCAGCACGCCAGCCTTGCCAGCCAGCAGTTCAATGAGCTTCCCTACCTGTGGGAGGTGAACAACCTGAGTGAGTGGCCCCTTGGGGTACAGGGGTTCTGTTGGGTTATCTACCTCTGGCTGATTTCCTCTAAGGCTATGACTCTACCACAAGTCATTCCTGGGAGAAATTAATAACAGCCAATCTCTATGGATCTCTACTAAGTGACCAATTTGTGCAAAAAGCTTTACTATCTGCTTATTTCACTCCTCTCAAAACCCTTCTGAGATAGGTACTACTGTTGTCTATATTTTACATGAGGAACAGAGAGGTTAAGTAACTTTTCCACAGCCTCCAAGGGGACAAGTGGTGAGGTCAGGATTACAAGACATAACCACTTACAGGAAAGTGGCTGCAGCTGAAATACCAGGGGCTCCCTCCACTGAAAGGTGAGTTCATGACTTAGGCAGAAGACCCCCTCACGAAGGGGCGGTCAGCCTGCTCCTCCTCCTCTCTGCAGAGGAGCACAGGGCAGAACTGCCAGTGGCTAGGAACCTGTTTGTTTTCAAAGGGTCTCCACTGACTGTAGCCAACCCAACTACTTTTCTTCCTCAAAAGCGGTGCCTCTGCTGGTGCCAAGGCTACTGACCGTCATACGTGAGGGGAAGCCGTGAGGGTTCATGATGATGTCCGGGCAGATGCCTGAATCACAAAATGGCATGTCCTCCTGAGGGACGATCAAGCCGCAGACACCTGCAGGAGAGAAGATTTCATGTCATGTAAAGCAAGTCGGCAGGAAGGCAGGCTGCAGGCTGTACCTGGAACTTCCCTGCTGTTATTTCTATCTCCCCTGCTCTAAGACCTATTCTCGGCCCCTCTATGACGAGGAACAAAAACAATTTCCCCAAATCTCGCTAACGAAATAGCTCAAAAAGATCTTTCTTGCATAAACAGGCTGTAGGCAGCGGACAGGCCTGCAGGCAAGAAGCACAATGGTGTTGTCAGGCTGCCCGCCCACCCTCTCGGGCCTGGTGGCAGCGACCTCACGATGCCCTGGGCCTGGCAATGTCCTAAGACGCTGAGCCAGCAGCATGTTGCTCCTCCTCAGTTAGTGGGTGATCTGCTCAGCTCTGCACCCCAATTATTTGAAGAGAAATTCTCTGACCATCAAACACAGAATGGATCCAATGAGGGCTTGTGTTTCAGATGTGGCTTTAAGAAGTGGTGACAAGAAGACCTGTGGGTGGCTCTAACTACGTCACAGCACACGCGGGCTCCGTTACGCTTGCCAGGGCTTTCTTGTCTGGGCCTAAAATTCCCGAAGGAATTTTAATTCCTATATAGCTTATATGATAAGCAATCTTTGACTTTATAAAGCTGCCAAAGAAAACTGAATGCCCAAACATTCTCTTGGAGAAAAAGATGAGAATTAAAAATGACACCCCAAGAACGAATACAGAACAAAATAAAAATAAAATAAAAAGCGACCAACTCTATGCATACCACCGGTAGTCCCATAAATTATCTGTACTCGACTGTTCCCTTAATAGTAACCTAACCTGGAGGGGATTTTGCTACTAGTTTTTCATTCTTCTGGTTTCTTTTTCTTGGGTGGAGGGAGAAGAGCAGAATTTAGATTGTTAATCACAATCTCCATCATTTAGAAATGGAAAACTATTGTACAATGGCTTTGGACTATGGGAAAAAATGTTTTTATATTTGTAGCAAAATACAATTACCTTTCCTTCTGTGTGTAAAGTTATCAACCATCCACCCCAAGTGATAAGAAATGGCTGTCAACAGTCATCCTCAGTTGATTTTGGGCATAATTACCAAAAGTATTTTCAAACAAAATGTTTATGATGCTATAATCACCAATAGCAAAAGTCTAAAGAATGTCATGAGCCCATTTAGCACTCGTTGTGACTATTCTGATTTCTCAGGGGCTCCCAATCATATGGTAATTAGACTTTCAGAGTTGAATACTAGCACATGAGTTACTTTAATCAGTTTTTTGACTGAAAAGGTAATTTTGTTATAAAGAACATATATGCATTCTTACACACAGAACAGATAGAATCTCTGGATCACTTTATTTCAAACTCAGTGACCATGACCAACTGTGAATCAAGTTGTGTAACTCCTTCTTCCCTTAAAAAAAAAAATCCATCTTCTCTCCCTTGGAATAACAAAACACTAGAGCTACTGGGACATGTGCTCCGAATGAGCAGAGACTGTAAATCTAGAAGCAACCACACGCTGTTGGGCAGTGAGCACAATGTTAGAAGCGGCCCTTCCGAGAAGCTGGTCCAAGATGCGCTCGGCTCACGATGGGACTTTGGCTGGGAAAGGGGTGGGGTGCAGCGATATCCCTTAAAAACAAAACCAAAGACAAAACTTGGAACCCTGTCAGCCCGCGGCTCACAGAGGGAGGCTGGCGTCTGCTGGTGTGGGGGAGGCTGCCTGACCCCCTCCAACAAGAGAAGGTGGGAGTGTGGGGCCAGGGGGTGCAGAAATGGAAGCAGGAATTGGACATGCTTCTGCAAGGGTCAGGAAAGCAGGGAGAGAAATGGACGACTTGAATTTTATGTTTTCGATCTGACTGGACACTTTCAATGCAAATCCAACTTTATGACGGTATTTAAAGAAATGCTCCTGCCTTTCAAATCTCAATCTCCAATTTACTCTGGCTTGCAATCCGAATAATCCCTGGTGCGGAATTTCCTTTGGGGGGAGGTTATCTTCTTATCAGCCCTGTGTTGACGTTTAGCTTTTAAAAAAAGAGATAGAAGTAACTTTGGATTAACAGGCTCGGCTTTGGCCCCATCTGAACCACAGGCACCTGTGAGCCAAAAAAATGAAAGCTTCGCGAACTTAAAATTACTTGTGGGTCTCTGCAAACCCTTTTATATGCCAAGATGGTTCCCATAGCAGACAGCCCTGTGTTGTTTGTTTTGTGTGAAAGTGAATGATAAAAGATCCATGAAATCGACACAGAAAGCCAGAACAGCAGAAAGAACTGAGGGCTCTCCATCATCGCGGCTTCTCCCCTCTGCTGACTCGCCGAACAATGGGGGCAAGACATCCAACTGCAGATCTAACACAGCTGTGCATTTCATTAGCTGAAGAGCACTAGTGCCACAAGTAAATAATTAACTTATTCTGGTCCGCTGGCTGCGCTTATGAGACCAGTCATAGCTGACAGATTTTAATACAAGGTAGCACAAAGACACCATAATGAGCTTAGGCGTTAAAACAAAATATTTAGACAGAATTTGATGATCTCGAATCTCAAATGAGACAGATGATTGTTAAAAGTTTGGATTTTATGGAATTCATTAGAGGGTGAAAAAGAAAGTTCTAGGTCTTAGAACAAGACTTTTTATTTCTTTCTTCTTCTCTTTTTTCAAGTATCTCAGATTCAGAGTAAGTGATACCCAGAAACCAAACAGAATCTTTTCTTATTTTCAGATTTAAAAATGAAAATGTAGTCTCTCCAAGGACAGAGGTATAAACCCTCTTCCAATACTTACAAACTCTTAAAAAGTTATGGTCAGCCATCCTTAACTCCGGCTTAAAAATGTAAATGATATGCAGTTCGCTCCAGTGTGTTAACACTCCCCTGGACTCTTGAAAAGAGGACGGACTACAAATAAACCAGAACGAATGGAATCTGTTGTGAAACAATTACCGATTCATACCTTAACTGCTTACACAGCATTTCAGAGTTTGAAAATAAAATCTCATCCTCTGTGCTCAGATTGGTGTCTCAATCCCATTGTTTATAGCACAACCTCCTGGCAGCAAGATGCAAATACACCTGCTTAACATGCTCAGGAGAATTTAATACACTCCCTGAGGCCAGCAGGGAATCAGCGTGCAAACTTCACACTAAAGGAGTCCTCACACAATAAGGAGATGGGTAATAAAAGGAGAAATTATTCTTAGGAAGTTAAAGCAGAAAGGGATCGTAGATACCCAGCCAACAAAATATTGTTCCATTTTATTTATTAAAAGGGAATAAGATACGGTTATCTGAGATAAGATCAGTAATAAGCTATTATTTCATCTTAATTTCTTTCAAATTGTAAAGACAAAGAATTCAGGGAGTCTGCGAGAGTGACTCAGGAGGAGCAGATGTGGGGACCTGAGGTCACCATTCTGTCCCACCCTGGCTCCAGGGGACTCTGCCACCAGTGGGTCGCTCTCGTCCCAGTGGCGTCACAGGGCGTGCTGAGCACAGGTCACCCAGCAAATGGCTGGCGAATCTGATCACTTGACTGTTTCCATATTTCTCATCAACAGAGACTGACTTGTTCAAAAGTCATTTTCACTTCTGAGTTGTAGGCTTTCACTTTTGAGACCATGTAATGAGTCTAGTTTAATTCGAACAGAGAAAATAGGAAGATAAAACATACATACACACGAGGAGACGGTAAAGGAGAATCAAGGTATTCTAGGGCTAGTATCAAGACAAGAAAGCTAGCATCGACATCAACCACAGAGGACAACTGAAACATCTTTAACTCAAGAGCTGTTTCGGAGAAGCAAGCCTTCTGTGCATTAAGAACTGACTGGCAAACAGTTCTGTTTTGTTGATAGCCAGGTCTCATGTCAATACCACCCTCTGCTTCATCTTTGAAGTTCTGGTTAGCAAGTCTACCTTCCACCAGTGGATTAAACATATCGCTCAGAGGCTGATACCCATTTGCGTAAAGAAAGGGAGAGAAGACATTTCCCACACTACCTAGTATATGCTGCATGATCTGGGCTTTGATGGGATAGAGGCCCTCTAGAGAGGTTCAGGGGGAACTCAACTCTACCCTAGCCGCACTTCATGCAGACGATTTGACTAGATTTCAAAACCAAACCATTTTCCAATCCAGCCTGCCATATTCTAACACGAAGTGATGCAGAACAGAGCTGTGAGTTGATACTAATCAGAATCTAAACTGTCTGCTTTCGCCTTCTGCACTTACAGGAGAGGCTATTTATTCTGTGTAGCTGAATACATTCGCACCGACGGGAGGCGAAACTGACCCTGGGGTTTTACCCTATCAGTCAGGGAGGAATAGTTAACTGAGGCCTGGCACCAGTGAGGTGCATAGATGTAAGAGATGCCAATTCTAAAGCGTTCACTACCCCTGGGCTCTCATCTCAGACCTGCATATGGCAGCATCTCAAGGAGCGGGGTGACCTGCATTTGACTCTGCTCTTCAGCTGACATGTGTTACTTGCGGGGAGGGCGGGGTATGGGGGAGGCAACCCCACATTCTGGTGAGCCTTAGGAGTTTGGACTTTGTAATGAGAATAATTAGCCACCTATTTCATGAGGCAGTTGTGCTAGAAGAACAGATGAGCTAACGTCTGAGAGGTACTTTGAGGTCCTCCGAGAAAGGCAGCATCGACAAACCTGGAATTATTCTAAGAAACCTAATTACTCTCAGCAAGAATTAAACTAGCAAAGGAAAGGAGACCCACTTAACGAAGAGGAGGAGCAGCGCTAACTTCAACTGAAGAGCGGACAGAGGCTCGCTCAGGAGCGCTGGGCTGCTGAGGTCACAGGAGCAGGACCAAGGTTCCCCACCTCGCAGGGCCTGGGGCTGCAGGTTTCTGGTGGGAAGCAGTCTACTGCCGGTGAATATCGTGTCCACTTGGGGTCAGGGCGGCGGCAGAAATGCTTTCAAGTCTCTCCGTGCCTAGTATGTTTTGCTCTGAATAAACTCATCTCTGGGCCTTCGTACACCCAGACA